CCAACTCTCCCGGCTGATTGTACGCAACAAGCTGCCCCGCTTAAACTGTTCGCCGATACAATTGGATACGTTCGATCCAGCTTGATCCGATCGGTCCAATATATTAATTTCGTTTTTCGAGAATAGAGTAGGGGTAAAGGTTATTGAAATATAATCGACATTTTATGAGTCGAGCAACTAATAATTTAATGCAATTGTAATTTGTGTGAAATCAAAATATTTTTGGGATAAATTATTTAAACAAATTGAACGATTTAATTTGTGAAGTATAATATGGAGTATGATACGCGAATATTGAAATATTTTGTAAAATTTAAAAAGAAAAATGTGTAAAGTTTAGAGCAATTCTATTTATCTATAAAGATTAAAATTTCATTTTTACGATTTCGTAATTTTTCGAAAGCTTACAAATAAATTCTTACAAAAATTTGTTACTGCTAAAGTCAATTATGATAAAAGCAGTTTTATATTTTTTAATTTCAATATTTATTTATTTATTTGAATTTTCTTTTTGGGATCAATTGAATTTATCATAAGAAAATATTATGAGAATGTTCAAAAGGTGGAGAATTATTTTAAAAAAAAGAAACTGTTAAATTATTCTCGTAACATTCAGATGCGACTAACGCGATTCAACGTCAGCTCAATTAAAGTCTTATTCATCAACTTTTGTTCGCAAGATTACCTTTCCTGCAGCCTTAGCTTCGCGGAATAATGAAGAGTAAGTGACAAAAAGCGCGATTCTTAGAACTCTGAGAAAAGAGATTCTCTGAACGAAATCTCACGCTAAGGCAAAGAAGAGAAATTTCTAAATGTAAACTGCACCTGCAACGAGTGCATCGGTAAAGAGTTTTGTTTCTTCATATAAGTTGCAAGCTCGTTATGTAATTTTAGTTCTTCAACCAGCCGGATGAAACTAAGAGAAATCTTTATCTTGCGTTTATTAGCATTCTGATAATTACTGAGAAATTAGAGGAATTCATAGTTACACGGAAACATCTATTTGGATTTAAATTTTTTCATTCCGTGTTCTGTAATAATTCTACAGCGTGCTCTTCAATTTTTAAGATCTTTGTCTGTCGACTTTACGCTCGGTTAAAAATTAAATTTACTCGTGAATGCTATATAATATTCATGTGTGCACTTAAATTGAAAACTTCGCATGCACCTAGAAATACATCTAAGTAATGAAATATTTCCTTTCCAGAGATGAAAATTTTTCTACAAAATTCATGTTGTTTAATATTCGATCAAAAATTTAATTTCCGTATATCAGATAATTATTATGTATTTAATTAATTTATTCAAATAATATAAAAGATCATTTAAACATTTAACTTCAAAAATAAACTAAATCCAATTTTTCTCTCATAAATCGATTATCTTTTAATAATAATAATAATAATAATAATTACTAAACAATAGAAAAAAGGAAATAAGTAATAATTGATCAAAGAACGGAAACGCGATAATCCGAATTGTCCGCAAAATCGAGGCATTTATCAATAATAATTGAAATTGGGCGGCGATAGTTCGTATAAAAGCGATAAAATCCATTCTTCGGTAAGACGTACGAGAGACGACGCAACACATTCCATGGAGAAGAGAGCGGCCACTCACCTTTGGTTGCGGTCTCAGCTTCTGCCTGGACGAACGGCCTCATAGCAGCCACCATTCTCCACGATCATCCTCCTCTTCGTTATCATCCGCTCACACCGTTTTCTACATGTGTGCACATGCTTACTCGCCCTTACCTAACAATGTTCTGTTGTTACTTTTCAGGTTAATAATCGCGTACCGTGATGTAATATGTTTATAATTTTTGTGAAACTTTCACTTTTAAATAAGAAATTTTCTATTTTTCAATAATTAAAACTAAAAGAAATGATGAAACTGAAATATTTATATACTTTTGAACGTATCAATTACGAATATCATTAAAAACATATTTTTCATTAGTTCTCTTTGAGAAATTATCTCAATATTTGTTAATTCTATCTATTTTTTTCATGAATAAAAATATATAATTAACATCAGTTTTAGCAATTTATTTTAATCAACTTATTTCGTTACCATTCAATATTTAATCATATTTAATCATATATATCTATGTATATTTATTATTATGAAATTATTATAAGTACAATTTATACAATGCATAATATATAATTTAGCATATATCTATGTATGAAATTGAATAATTATTTTAAAAACATCTACATTGTTTCTATAATCGATAATCGAATAAAAATTTCCACATCACGGTCGAATGCTAACGATAAGACAAGAATTCGAGAGAACGCCCACTACTGAAATGCCTACCTGCCTGAGAGTCGTTCTCTCGAGGTTATGAGTCACGAGGCCGTCGCACGCTTTGCTAAATATCTCGACATTTTGTCACGCGTTGGTTTCCCCTTAATCACGACACGTTCAACATGTTTTACGTTGTACACGTCTCGTTCCTTTTCTGCAACCAACGAATCGATTTGCACCAATCGACTGGTTGATGTTTATATTACTCTATTTTATGTTAATCGTAAATGCAATATAAATAAGATGTTCAAAAAGAAAAAATTAAGAAATATTACTATATGCTTTTATATTTTATATAGTCAAAGGTAAATTTCATAGTTGATTTTTTTACTATCATTTAAATGTAATAAAGCTAAGCGTTTCTTCTATTCTGAGTAAAAGTACACGTCATCAATATCTAAGACTTTTAGTATATAAGTATATGTTAAACTCACCATAGTTCAAGTCACAATATTTGGATGATATCGCAAGAGTAATAGTCGCCCAAAGATAATCAACGTAATTCACTCGGTATTTTATTTCACTGTATTTCACACGTGCACACTTTTAATACGTATAAGTTTGTTAGATTACAAGCTGCATTTTAATTCATATAAAGAATATAGGTTCTTTATGAATTTATCTTTTAAGACTTATTTTCATAGATAAATTTCTCGAAATATTTAATATTATAGAAATCAAAAATTTTATATATTGTAATGCAATATTTAAATCAAAATTTATATTTTAAATTTACATAATTTATCAAAATATAAATATAAATTTCTTAATTAAAAAAGAAAGAATAAATTTTGAATTAATTTACTTTAGAATTACTATATTTACAGTAATTCAAATTTAAAATAATTATTTATAATAATTCAAAAATATTAGGTTATGTGAGTGAAAAATATTTTAACCGTTTGGAATTACAACAGGACTCAAGAGAAATCATTTCCCAATTTATGGCACGGTATTATGTTTTAATTAATCAATTATGCAAATAATATTACGCGAATAATTATAATAAAATTCGATTTATATATATTTCTAGAAAATTTTCACATATAATGTTTCATTAGCAAAGCACAATAATCTTTCAAAATATAAAATTTTTTCAATGACATACACAATTTCACAATAAAAAAATTAAATTCTGTACAATGTATAGATTCACAATCAAATAACGAAAAGATTCATCTATCGATCACTGCATTCATTTTAAAATTTCACTAATAGCACTTGTATATCATCGTTGACACTAAATAAAGATAGAGACAAATCATTTTCTATCGAAATCATGGAATTACAATACAATCCTTAAAGTTTTTCAGTCCCCGTACACTCTCATCCATTTTCAAAGAAATCAATCGATACTTCTTTTCGCGTAGAATCATCATTTTTGAAATATTTAGTTTACTGATCATGATGCACAGAAAGAAGTTTCTCAAACTTCACACAAGACATGCGCGTCGTGACAAATTGCCAAAAGCGCCAATCACTGAATAGTTCACTAATAACATAATCCTTGACAATACTCGACATTTCAAATCATTGTATATAAAGTCGTTAAATCGATTCACGATATGCCATGTGCAATTCAGTTGAGAAGAAAAAAGTACCTTTATGAAAAATCATTCCTAGTTAAACACGAATCGTTAAACACGAAAAGAATTATTCGAAATTTTGTAGACGATTTTATTGAAGTCAACTTTTAAAGCAGAACAGTCGCAATGAACCGCACACGATCGTCGTGAAAGCGACACGATACTGGATGAGAACGGGCAACAGGTTCGTTGGGTTGCCCTGAGGAACGTGACGACGATACGAACAGGAGGGGAGGAGGATAGGTACTGGCCAGGTAAGCTAGTGCCGCCATTGCTCCTGACGCAGCATCCACCGATTTGCAGTGGCGTAAATACGCCGATATCCTACTGAAAAGAAAATTCTCTGTCGCTTGGGTTGTTTTACGCGATTTATATCGTTTCGCTTGCCTCTTACTCTATCTTGGTTCTCACAGGTATTCCTTTCAGATCTCATCTATAAACGTTCTCTGAAGACAATGTAACGTTTATGTATTTTACGATATATGAAACGCAAACCAAAATAAGATTATAAAAAAAGATCATAAAATAGAGAAACTTGATATTAAATTTAAAAAAACTTTGCTAGTAACAAAAGATATTCTTTATTTTTAAAATCCAAAACTTCAAAGAACTGTTCAAAAAAATATATGAATATTGGAAAATTGGAATTCGATAATGATTAATAGTTAACTGCTCGATTAATAATATTCGAAAATTGTAAGACAGCTGACGCAACTATTAAGAATTTTATTTGGTTCTTTTTATTTCTTTTGCGTATGTTCTAGAATTTTTTCCTGAATATTGAATATATTATTGAAATGTAAATATATATATTTAATATTTCTTATTCATATTTTAATCAAATATGAATATATTTAAAATATAAAATATATATGTTCAAAAAAACCTATTTAAGTCGATAATTTATAAATATATAGTTAGTTTTAAATTTAACCTTTTTAATCACTATCTTTTTATTTGTAAAAGAATATTAAAGTGTTTAGTTTATATTTTTGTTAATTATGTAATTTATATTGTATTTAATTATATAATATTATATTGTATATATAATTATAAATAAATATATGAACACAAATATATAAAATAAAAATGAAAAATGAGTCATTAGAAAAGAAAATTTTATCAGAATACATATCTATTAAATACTAGACACAGATATAGATTACAAATTATATCCACAAAATTTTGATTACGCCATTGCAGCAACAGGTTGTCACCAATGAGAACCATCGTGAATGGGCGCGTTCATCCATTTGATAGCAATACGACCTGCCACTATAAAGGAACAAGACTATCTTTTAAATCTAAATAAAAATTTTTATAAATTTTATTATGAATTAATATATTATATAACAAATATATGCAAAATTAATTACTAATTAAATATACATATTTAATTTTTGATTTATAAATCAATGTAATAATTAATAATTACGTATATATATTATTATATGTATATATAATTATATAATATATATATACATATAATTTCTTTATTTTAAATTTAATTTTAAATTCTTTAATATAATTAAATTCTTTAAATATAACAAATTGAAAATAAAAAAAACATATTGCTTTAAAAGCGATAATGAAAGTGAATATTTAATCTCTCTTATCAGTAATTTGTTTATCAGTAATATTATGAATCATGAAACACATTAAACAGCGATTAATTTGATATATAAAACAAGGTTAATTTATATATTATATTATTCATTTTAGTACAAATTATGTTCATACATATTTTTTTTAATAATTTATTAATAATTTAATATTTATAATATAATCTAATATATATATATATATATATATATATATATAGATTGACATAATATATTTAAAAAATATAAAAAAAATCTTAATATAATCAATAAAATTATAATATAATAATAAAATAATAAAAAATATTTTCAATTACAAAAATTGAAAAATTTTAATTAATACTTATCTATACTAATACTAATATTATAAAAATTATGAATAATATAACAATGATACAATTGAAAAAAATATTTGATAATAATGAATCTGAGCACCTCTATTACAAAGAATAGCGGAGCGTACAATCTGTCTCGGGTCAGTACTTTTCTTAATTCGAGCGCGAGGTGGTAGCACAGTGTAAGTTTTTCTGCCAAGTATACTGCACATTAAACATGAACATTCATATACTAACATTTTATTTCATTCTGAGCAAAGGATCACTAAAAAAAGCAGCGCGGTAGGTTTGAGAAGAGTACACAATGCACCAAATGGATAAGAGACATCCCTCCCTCTGATATAAAACAGTTGATATTGACAGCTCTCGTCTCGATCCGGGATAACCTCTTGGTCCAATCGACTACCAATTCTTGTCACGTCTATATTCGACGATTGCCAAAACATTTTGAAAGAATGGCATGTCTTTTGTTGAATCAGGAAAATGTGCACATTAAAATTCCATCAGCTGACACTGTCGAAGGTATTACTTATTATTGCATCGAGGTTAGGATTGCTTCAATCAAATGGACTGTGAAGCACAGGTAAATTTCTGATTTATCATGAGCAACTTTTTATTTTTTATTTCTTATCTTGATAAATGTTTTAATATCTATCTATTCCCCGCCTATTCAATATTTTATCATAAAAATTATTTAATTATATTATTTGATATATCTATCTGAAATTTTTATTTTATATACAAAATTATGCATATTTTAAAAAATAAATGTGATAAATTATTTTTACATTGTTCAAAATTTATTGGTAAAAAATAAACATTAAATATATGTGATATTTATTTAATCAAACTTATATTTATATTTCTTTTTTAACGAATCTTTAATGATTGCTTTATTATAAAGTTTTTTTCACATGTTATTTTCATTTACTTATGAAAAATTATGAAATTATATCATAAATCAATATTTGAAATAAAAAATAAATTTGATATACTTATATTTGTATTTTTATAGATATAATGATTTTGCTGAACTTCACGATAAACTTGTCTCAGAGAATTATGTTAAGAAGGATATATTGCCACCAAAGAAGCTTATTGGAAATAAATGTGAAGCTTTTGTAGAAAAGCGTAGATTAAGTTTAGAAGTTTATTTAAATGAAGTATACAACTATCTGAAAAAAGCAATGCCCAGAGAATTAGCTGTATTTCTTGATATGCATATATATGATATATTTTTTCTACTACAGAGTATGGCTTTAGAATTTTTTATAGAAGGGAATAGTTTATTGCAAAAGTCCAAGAGTCACAAATTTAATCCAGTTCAGGTGATTATATATTTAAATTATTCTTACTTTCTTGTAATAATATCTATTTTATATATATGATTTTATATAAATGAAATATAATAATTTTTTTACAGCTATATGCAATCAGTGAGAGATTAAAACAACCCTGTCCACCAATCGAAGTGGTTGACAAAAAATATGATTTCAGTCATGTCTTGGATTTTAATTCTCATTTAACTGGTCTTATCATTGAAGGAAGTTCAGAACCTTATAGAACCAGCAATATTTATTCATCAGCATTATCCATTGAATTAACAAGTTTCAAAAATATAGAAAATCTAACCATTAATCAATATCCAATGGATAAGATATATCATATGGGCAATCTTCGAGATACAGTGAAATATTTAAAAGTGAACAATACAAAGCTTAGAAATATCGTTGAATTAGCAATGTGCGAAGAAGTACATAAAACAATTGAAAATGCGAACGATTCTCATGTTTGGTTTAAAGTCACTCATCTAGATCTTAGTGATAATCGAATAGAAGTTATAGATGAAGCAATTAAATTATTACCACAAATAGAATGCTTAACATTAAATAATAATTTACTCTCTGAAATTTCTAACATCACTCTATTACCAAGATTGTCTCAATTGTATTTAGCATCAAATAATTTCACAACTCTACCCGATGATTTGCATACGAAACTTGGTTATATCGTATATATCGATTTATCCCAAAACAAATTAACTTCATTATCGAGTTTCTCGAAATTGTATTCATTAGAAGGTCTAGACGTAAGTTGCAATCGTATCGAAAAAATCGAAGAGGTAAAGAATATTGGTCATCTACCTTGTTTAGAAAATTTAAGATTAACTGGCAATCCAGTGTCAACAATTGTCGATTATAGAGTAAAAGTATTAGAACCGTTTGGAAAAAGAGCAGCAGATATTTGTTTAGATAATGAAAAACCAAATCAGAAGGAACTGGATACTGTTTCTGTTCATCAAGCATTACGCATTGCAAGAGAAGGAAAATCACCTACATTCACGGCTTCAGATGCGCCTTTATTTTCTGCAGAGATTCCAAATATATAGAATTGCATAATTATAATTTCATTTCAGAAAATAATCTAGACAAAGAAGGAACTTCGATATAAATTTTTATCATTGACTCAAATTTTTTTCTTAAATATAAAAGACCAAGAATTACAAATTTTCAAACACATTTAGATTTTGATGGAAATCTAACGAGATATTTTATATTTTTTACTCAAAGTGATATCACTTTTAAAAATTAAATTGAATTAATTTGTATGAAAAGGTTCCTTTGTAAATTAAATCAAATTGATATTTAAAATGACAAACATTCAAGATTTGAATCTCACTTGTAGCTCTTTTTATGATATTTATTTATGTCACTTTATCATGTCGGTGCTTTTTATTATCTTTTTTTAACATTATGATGATAATCTAATCAGTATAATGTATACCAAAATAATAATCTATAATTTAAGTCTTAGATAATGAGTCAAATCTTTATTTGACTAAATCTTTATTTGATTTAGATATAAAGGAAATTTTAATAATATGTGGGATAATTAAAAAGAAGATAATAAATCTCTCTTTTCGGGGATAATGTGCCACTTATCTATGTAAAAGTAAAATTTATAAGATTCTACTGTGTACATAATTATTTTTAAATTGTATATTGCGTGTTACCGTCATATATTTTTTATACGAAATCAGAAAATGAAATAGAAAGATTAGATTGATCAAAGATGTATATTTATTTATAATTTATATCAAAGAAGTTTAGTTGATATATATATATATATATAAACCGTTGGTGATTCTTAATATATAAATTATAAATTCTATTTATATTCCATGAAATAATTTAATTTGCAATTTAGAAATAAGAAGAATTCGTTTTAAGAATTATTGCTTTTTAAATAATTCATTATTAAAGATAACATTTATTTATTATTTAATAAAATTTGCATATAAATTATTTAAATTAAAACATTTGTGTATCATATATATTGTCAGTGCAAATAAAAATGCACTTGAATCAAAACAATTATTTTCAAAGTTTTGATTCGATACACAATTATTAGTTTGTTATTTGTTGCATAAATTTTTATGATGATGTTATTTTGAAAGATGCAAACGCATTTAATGATTAACGATTTTATAATAGTTTAACACAAATTATCTATAAATGTATATAAGAAAATTAAATATTTTGTTAATAAAGAATTCTAAATCAATAAATTGTGATAACCTATTTTTTATTACTCTATATATAAGCATATTATATCTTTATTTAAAAATTGTAATAAGAAATAATATTTTTATTTTTTACATTTTTGTTATTTATTACAATTTTTATATAAAAAATTTTTTTAATTTTTATAAATTGAAATTAATTATAGTTTGGACAATATAAAAAAGACGGATTAATTATCTTTAAAGTTTATTTTTATTTAAACTTTCACATTATTCGCATTACCTTTTAAACATCATACGTATCTCGATAATAGTAAAATATTCATAAATAATAATAATAATCATTACAATGCTTAACATATTTTAAGCATTCTTGTGTTATAGTCTTTTAATGTAATACACCTAAAAACTAACACATACATAAATTATCGTTTCATATATTCGTTTCACAAAAGATCACTTTCCTTTTTTGCGTTATGATCGCGCATCATATTCTTTTTTTTCGACGAACTTGGTGCACAATATTTCACAATATTTTTTTCTACGTTGTTCGAATTTTTCACGAAGCACAATCTATCGAGTTATTTTTTTTTTTGTTTTATTTATTTATTTTTTTTTATATATATATATTAAAGGCAATGCGTGTTTTCAAAGAAAAAAGTATTACTTCTAAAAAGAAAGTATCATATCAAAGCGTCAAAAAGCTACTTGGTACCAAAAAGAGAATAATTTATCAAATATCTTTCATTTTCCTACCATTACACAACGTCCATGCGTCGTTTATATTATGATTATCAATATTTATGTATGTATATATATATATATGTTCGTATTTTTTTTTTTTTGATCATAACTTGATCTTCGAATAAATCGATTTTGTTATTCGGAGTTACCATCTGTCGATACAATCGTAAAAACACATATATACATATATACATACATAAAGCAATAAAAAGCTGATCGAAAAAAGAAACATTGCATATCAAATATGTATAGAGTAATCTTTTTATACAAATTTCATGGATGCTAAATGTATTTATGACATCTTATATACTTCGAATAAAGAACTCATTTTTCTAATATTTGATTATCGTTGTTTATAAATATTTTCAGGTTATGTTTTGTTTCTTAACATAAAAGACTTTGAATTTACGTTTAAAAAATATATAAATATATATATATATATGTACATATACATAAATTTCTAAAAAGGCTGAACATTATATTTGATACTTATCATCCGATATAGAATTGTTAGAATATTTTGTTTGACTTGTTCGAAGGATAAAAGATGCTTGAATACACTTTCTTCTATATTTCGGAGTTCTTCTATCTTGCGGAGAAAAACTATAATTCGCAGATATATTTGGTATGTTTCGCTGCGAACCTCGCTTTTTCATTATATTTATTTCTTCTTCTTTGTTATATAATCCAATTTCCACATTTTTTATCTCGAAATTTGAACATTGGATGTAGAATCTCGATCGTTTTAATCAAGAAATAAAAAAAAAAAGAAAAAAAGAAAAAAAAAACAAAAACAAAAATAAAAATAAAAATTCGTAACGTTCCTTCGAATTAAAAAGTAAAGGAGTATATATCGCTCGAGTAAATTGAACGATAGGGGGAAAAAAACGGGTGTTCACAGCGAATGAAAGAATGAAAAAAATGAAAAAAAAAAAAAAAAAAAAAAAAAAAAAAAAAAAAAAANGGAAAGAAACGAAACTTGAAGAAAACATAAAGGAAAATTACGAAAAAAAAAAAAAAAGAAAAAGTGAATTTTACAGGAATTGATGGATTCACATAGAAAAGATAGGAAGGAAGCGATCTAATGGATACGCGAATGATGGAATTTCGAAGGGGATTTTAAAAATTCGTTTTTTTCGTGCGTTCAACTGGTCGATTGGGCATCTACTGATGCGCAATTGGGATAAGCTTCTCGCCTGTACCAATCGCCGGAAGCGGAGCTTCGACGGTGAGCACGCCATCCTTGCTCAACGAAGACTTGATACTTTCGGGATTGGTTCCCTTGGGCAGCAGGAATTCGCGATTGTACTCTCTGTACACCGATTTACTCTCTGTCTTCTCTTCGTGTTTTGCATGGACCTGAAAAAAAAGAATGAATGAAACGCTTTAAAAATATAATTTTAGAATTATAATTTTCTACAATCGATGATGAATTCATATTCGTAACAATAAATCATAAATTCGTATCATCTTAATCTTAATATTATTACAATAATTCCAATAAAACTTTAAATAATATAATAAAACTTTCAAGTATATTGAAACAAAGGAAAAAAAATTTTCTCTTGGAGGACGAAATTTGAAGGATGAACGATGATTTTTTTTTTTTTTTTTTTCGAACTTTACAAGAGAAATATATCTATAAAAGTTCATTAACGTCAAAAATATTGATTAAAAATATTATACAATACAGTAGTAAAATGTTTTTGGTAGATTTACAGAAACAAGATAGATTGATTAATATGCATTTGGAGAATGCATCAATTTTTTTTCGTATATGCAAGGACAAGAATTCAGGTCGTCCGTTCGATTAAGTGTCCGTATTAATAAATCAGCCAGGACAGACCCATTTCTACGATCACGCGAGCTGCATGTTAAAAACCATCGACATTGCTTTGCTTGTGGTCAGCTAATGCGATAACATTCAAAGTACAAGGGTGGCACGTACTAGCAACATATTTTATAAAAATACATATACATCGGCAAATTTCTTATCTTCTTAAAATGCAAAGGTGCTCATATTTCTATCGCATGATGATGTATACCGTCGATAATTTGCATCAGACAAAATATATATATAGATATATTATCAATATTGTAAACATAAAAAGTGAATAAATATGCTTTTAAAGCAATTGATAAGTCTCCTAAAAAATATAAAAACAAAAAAAAATGTATCTAATTTGAGAGTAAAGAGATATAAATTGATCATATCTTATAGATATCTACAGATATTAATAGATAATGTGTGATATAAAAAATTGTTGTGATATTTCATTTCAATTAGTAAATTTTAATGTTCTTAAATGATTTCCAATACTATTATATATGCTCTTGTTTAAAAAAAATTATTAAAAAAAATAAGAAACTTCAAATTTAGTTTAATCTTCCTTCACTAAGAACATTTATTTTTAATTAAACTATATGTGATTCATCCTTAAATGCAAAAGAATGTACTCCCAGTTGCATTACTATTTGTACAATTCGATGGAGATATACATATACATTCTATCATCACACATGTCGATTTTTATGTACATATTATTTCTAGAACGTTTTTAAAGGAATGAAATTCAAATTTTTAGCCAATTAGTGTACAATTTATGTGTAATATAATAAGTACATTTTCCACCATATGACCAAAAAATATCAAATCCACGAACATTATCTCACAAAAAATCGTGCGTACGTATACAATTCCCCGTTGAATAATTCAACAAATTCTGCACACGTACACAGAATTCGTATAACGTCCCCTAAACGAAAAGGGCGAGGAGAATAAGGGTGACATATAGAACCCGTCAAGTAATATGGATATACGGGGAAACTAGGTTATGAGAGGGAACGGCAATAAAGTCGGAATACGAGGATATTTTACGAAGCTCATTGGCCGGAATTGGTTGGTTAGTATCTCGCGATAAAAGATGGCGTGCAAGGATAAAAGGAGGGAAGAATCTAGGGAGAAATATAATAAGCAGTAGAAAATGGCGGCAGAAGGACGCCACGAATTCAACTTCTAAATATCCAAATCGATATTTGCGAAATAATTATTTATTTTTCTTCTTCTTTCGAGCTATCTCTTCTTCGTTTCGTTGGAATGTATTCATGACAAAAATTGTTTAATCTTTATACGCATATATATAACATATTCTTCATTTAAAAGTAATCACTTTCGAATATAGAAATATTGTTAAAGGTAAAGGATTAACTGTCTTTGAGATTAAAGTGTCAAAGATAAAGTTCTAAGAACAAAGATCAATTACGCGTCGAAGTAAAAATAAATTATTCTGTACATTTCTAATTTTATCGTGAGCAAAAAACGATTCTTTTTTTTTCTTTTTTTTTATCGTGTTCAGATAAACTTCGCATAACTTAAAGTTTTTTAAAGGTATAGAAAATTAGCAATGCCACGATAAAACGATCGATTCACCGATAAAAATTGCAAGCAATAAGAGCAAATAAAAAGAACATTCGTCACGATGGATATTTCTAGGCCATCTCGCAATCACGTGGAAGTTACAATCGATATCAATCTTGTTCCCTTTAAGAAATTTCACTGTAATTTTTTGCAAAGTGTTCACGTTGAATGATTGCATAAGAAATGTTCCATATATTTTACAAAATATATCAATCAGTTTTCTATTGTAACCTTGAATGTTAAAAATTATTATCGAAACGATCTGTTAAAAGATAATAATCACAAGGTTGGAAAACAGATTCCAGGATTTGTATGCCACTATAGTTCGAGAAACGAATTGTACCACCTGTTACGATAATTCAAAGATATTTCTGCCAAGCATCCGCATTTGCAATGAGCTCACCTCGTCTGCCAACGTTTCACCACTGTTTGGCAATCGAAACAATCCTTCAATGTTAACCGATATCCGCGTACACGCCTTTCGGAATACATCCTCATTAACCAACATTTATTGCCCCTTTAACGATACAACATCGACATCAATGTCGATTAACACAAAATATTAAAACTTGAGAACGACGTCACAATTTACAAATGAAAATTTTTATCAAATTCATCTTATCTTAAACTTTCAATTGTAACAAAAAAAAAAAAAGACAATGCAAGATAAAATTGCCAAAAATAAAAATTGCTCTGTAACACGTGCATTCACTTCTCTTGTACCGAGATTAGTGCCATCTCGTGGCAATCAATTTAATTAATTTAGTTTAATTCTGATGGTAATATTTCTTCGAAGGTAAAAAAAATTCATCAAGAAATTCACCGTCTAAATTTTATCTTCGAAACAGCTTTCCTAGATTCTACTTCCTTTCTGCCAAATTATCGCTAATTACAGACCATTCCTGCATTATCGTTAGTTTTTCTGGCGTACAATACGGTGCTCCAAGTTTCCCCAACTTTTCTGCATCGCGTGATCCGTCATCATCTTTTTATTCGTTCGGTGTCGTGAAATGCTTTTTCAGATACCATCTGAAAATATACTCGGAACATACATAAGGGAATATGCGATTTACCCTCCCACGCTCGGGAATAATTTGGCTATCGCGATGAAACTTGATTCAAAACAGGGAAACAGATCGATGAATGGAATCGGCGACATACCGTGTGCGTCTCTTGGAAAAAGAAAATTTTTCTCCTCTTATCTATTTAGTCTCACTCTTACTCGATAATAATTTTAATTCTTTAGAGATTTATAATTTAATAATTAAACGTGCTAATAAGTAATACTCGTAATATATAAATCGCGCGATATAATGAACTATGATTCAGCATCCAGAATTTGAGAACATCTTTTATCATAAATCTTTCCATCGAAGAAATAAACAATCTATCAATTTGCTTGTTTAAATTAATATAAAAATTTTTTATAAAATTTTTATAATTATATCGGTTTAAATTTTAATCAATTAATTTTGAGCTTTATTTTTCAATTATATTTCGATTAAATTTATTATTTTCGCGAGATAAAGTTATATCGATTAAAATAATATCGAAAAACTCGATCGTTCCGTTCCGCAACAACGAAACACCTCGCATCTCTCGGTCACATTCGGCCGACACGAAAGATCGAGTTACTCGAAATCGATATTTTTTTTTTTCGGTATTTCGTTCACGTCGGTTTTGTAAAATCGGACAACTAGCTATCCGCTGGCTAACTAATATGCTCGAAGACGCATATTAAAAATAGACATTGCATCAGACGAGCGTCGAATATAACTGCGTTCGAGCACCACCAGCCATGCAAATATTGTGTCATGACAGGCCGTTTCTTACGGGTTTTCGTATAAATGAATCTTATTAACGCGTGTTACGTCACAACGATACACAACAATCTATAGTATCCCTATGTCATCGACGCATTTAGATGGACGCTTGGAAAGATTTATCTCGAATACGAAGCAATTATCTCCCCGTGCATCATTATCTTTTATAATAAGTTCGATTCTTACGACGAAGTAGAGATTTTTTTTTTTTTTTTTTGATTTTATTTCCCTGATTATTTCGCTGTTCCAGCGGTGATTAAATTTAATTAATATCGTTCTTGGAGAGAAGTCCTTCATCGAGAGCGTTATGTAAATTCGATTGAATTTAAGATTGAGAGGTGAAACGTTGGAAAAATTTTGGTTCGAGAATTTCATAACCTAAAAATTGTGATCGACGCAGGTGAAGATTCTACGCAGTTTGAAGCTACGTAACGAGTTAAATTTGCTTTTTTTTTTTTGAGTAAATATATAACAACAATATATACTTTAATGTATCATCAAGTTGTACACACGCAAGAAAATATTATTTTCTGAAGATTCTGCTTTTTACAGGGAAACTTTTATAATTTCTTTCTCTCGTCACGCGAAATGAATGCAATTAGTTCTCTTTAACTCATAAATAGTAGCCTGATTACGAAGGCGATCGTTTCCAAGACTCGTTTCATAATAAATAAGCCTCGATGTTTCATTTATAATTTTCACAAGACAGTCTTTCGCTTCTTATATTTAAAACTTCCTTTCCTATCATTTCTTTTTTTTCTTGACGAGCAAAATTTCCATTAAATTCCTATTAATAAAACGCGAAGCGATAACAAATGACATTCGTCGAAAACCCTATCGTCACTTGTTTATATCGTGATGATAATTATGCAAACGCTGGACTCCCTCCTCCCATCGTTCTAAATTTAACTTCAAACACTACAATATATCGTCGAATATCGAACAACACCGATAAAACGTTGAATTCGATCGAATTTCGCCTCTTCCCAATCTCAACCCATAAAATACCAATAATCGTTTCGAAGCTCGAAATATAATTTGGAAGAAAGAAAAAGAAGGAAAAAAAAAATACAGGTGGAGGACGCGTTCGACCGCGCCCAAGAATCGTGCGAGACGAG